TGTTCCGTAGGTACATCTTGCATTTTTTCATCTATATTCGGTGATACATCGCTAATTGGAGGGAATTCTGGTGCATTTATTGCTGATGTCGGATCAATTGCTTCGGTGTTGAAATTTGATAGCGTCATTGTGCTGTCTTTGATATTTTTATACTGTTCTGTAGTTACATCCTGTGTTGCTTTATTTAATTTTGATAATATGTAACTGTCCGAAGAGAACGGTGCCGTGTCAGTTGTCTCACTGTCCACGTCAGCATTTGCACGATACTCCGGTTTGATTGAGGTCATAGAAGTCGTGATAGAATGCGGTGCATCATTGAGTTCTGTCGTTGATGGCGTGATCCGTAATCCTAATAATGACGATGATCCATTCTCCTCGTTTTGTCCTTCGTCAGATGTTTTTTGCACAGGTTCAGGCAGATTCGGAACTTGGCTGTGCATTATCTCTTCGTCAATACTACCGTCAGGAACTAAAACTTCTTTGACTGAACCTGATACATCCATATTGCTATCATTATCATTATTCTCTAACAGTGTGCCTGTTATACTTCCAGGGGTAGTAATAATATCATCATAAATTTTAGAATTTACATTTTCCTTCTTTTCTACAATAGGATCGTCTGCGCTGGCTGTACTTTCATCGAGTATTTCAGAAGTTTCTTTCACATTTCTTTCTTCAGCTTCATCGACACTTGGAGATTCCACATTCTCGCCCGGCGCATCCGGAACACAGACTGTATCCACCGAGTTATTGTTCTGGCAGTCCGGCACAATGTTGCAGACTCCTCTGTCCACTTGATATCCCGTGTTCTGTGGACATTTTAAAACGCTTTGATGGAATCGATGTCCGTTCGTTTCGCACGTGTAAAACATAGAACAGTGGCCGAGCACGGGAAATCGGCCGGATCTCGTGCAGCTTGGCACTCTAACGCGATCGAAATACATGTAGCTGTCCGGTGGGATGATATTGGGAGTTAGCTTGCTTGAATCGTAGTAGACACATCGTTGGAGACGATTGTCGAAGATCTGCCCGCTCGCACACTGCGCTAGGATTGATTTACCGCGTTTGCAGATGTGATAATATAGAGAGCTCTTGCAATGCGGCTTCAAGACGTTGAGGCCACAGGATCGTCTGTTTTCAACGTGAAGCACCTTGCCGCCTCCTGGCACGCCCAGACAACGTCCTTCCTCTTGATCATAGTACTGATTTAACTTGCAACAATGTATGCTTGCAATAAAGGGCTTAAGTGTTCGTCGACGCCGGATTACCTGCAGTTCCACAGCGTTTCTTTCTGTATCATCAGTGTACTGCAAAAATGATTCCTTCGATATAAAGATTAAACACAGTAAAGTGAATATAATGCTTAATAAAATTTACACTTTATTATGTGAAAAATAAATGTAATATATAAAAAATAATATATTTGCAATTTATTTTTTCTTTTAATATACTTCGAAATTTCAACAATACTTCTTTTGTTAGATTCACAAACTTCTCTTGAAATGTATTCTAGTTTTACTCTTTTCTTAAAAATTAGATGTTTAGATACGAATTGCGTTATGATGATAAAATTGCTTACTCCAGAATTGCTCGACGAACGATATACTATCGCAATTAATAGTAAGATTCCGAGCGGTAGAAGTAGAGTCTTCATAGTTGAAGTCATCGTACGAAGCGGCTCGTTTCTCAACCGACGTGCCGTCCCGAATACCGATTTAATGAAACGCGTCCGTCTTTTCAATCACGAGGGGATAACTTTAAAGAGCTCGTCGTGGAGGTGTGCAGATTTATATATTTTCATATCGGAAACGTGCCGGTTAATATGTACAAAAGGCGAAGTGACAATGCATCTTCGGTCGGCATCGTCTCAGGATTTCCGAGAACGCGAGATGTTCGTGCGCGAAACGCCGTTAACGAGCTGCCCGCACGAAAATAAAGGATAATAATGAACGCTTCTTGCTTTCGCATTTATATCAGAGGAACGAGAGATTGGGAACAAATGCGGGATCGCACGAATCGAATTACGTCGGTGCATCGACATTACAAAGTATAGCTTACAGTCTCGCGATAAATCGCTCAAGGCCGACTGAGTCATAATTGCGGTATTCGGCAGTTTGGTATTTGTGTTCCGAGAAGAACTCCGGTCGGAATTGCAATGCATAATGAACGACGGAGAGCCTTAGAAATAAAAACAAAGTTTATTATTTAATTATATCAATTGACAATACGTAAATCAGTAGTAAATCTTTATATATACAGTGTTTTTCGTTGAGAGAGACGAATATCTACAAGTTAACACGTTCGGCTTATCTATTAGAATAGAATACAAAGATTAATTTACATTGAAATATATATAAAACGAAATAGGACTCCACTCTAGGATTTATACATCGTTGCTCGCGACAGAAGCAGAAGCTATTATACAATTATATATATATTTTTTTTAGAGAAGTTGTCATTTATGCGCTTCGGGTATGCCGGTTTCTCTCAGCAGTCGTATTGTGGCACTCTGTACGTAAAATTGTTGCTCCTTATGATGTTTATTCCGGCACCGTAATATGGCATCACGTAGTGCGAACCGTCCGCCGGCCCTACGATTTGCGTGGCTATCAGAATCACGTCGGCGAACTGGCCAAGGAAGAGAAATCCCAGCGTGCTTAGCTTGAGCAGGCCCAGGGCGGGATATCCGAGGTAAAATCGATCCGCGCCGAACATACCGAGAAATATCGACAGCAGCAACGACGTCTCAAAGGAATATCCATTTCTGAAAGCGATAATTCTAAGCGTGAATATCCAAAAATCTTATAACAAATCTGAGGCTACTTAATTATCCACATCTAAGCCATCCCAAAAGTCACACTTACGTCCATTTGCATGGTATATCCTTCTTGAACGTGTTATTCTTCGTTTCTATGCAGATGAGGCGATCGGCAGCTAGACACAGCACTGTGGAAAACAAGAAATTACGTTTAGTTTCGTCAGAATTATAATTTCGAGGATTCGCTCGCCCGCAAACCGTTATTTCCGAATGTACGACAATATGAGAGAAAACATCACAGCGCAATGCAAAACGAAGGGTTACGAACAAAACAAAACAACTGCTCCAACTGTCTACGCTTTACCTTTTTTTTTTTTTGGAACGCGGGAAAATACGTGTCTGTCTCGCTTTATAAAAGTATAAAACGCCAAAAAAAAATATAAAGGTGCGAAAGTGCGAAAGAACGTAACGCGGAGGCGAGATTGAGGTTAAGAGACACCGAGAGATTCTGCCGTTCGAGAGATAGAGCCCCCCTACCTTTGGCCTTGTTCTCCTTGGTGCAGCCGCGCGGCTGCTGCGTCTTCGGATCTATGAAATCATAATCGGGATGAGGACAGATGTACTGCCCCATTCGTAGGTTATTGCAGTCGACCTCGTACGTGTCCGCGCCATCGGACAGCGCGATCACCGGGAGGAGGACGAGCAGCCCGCTAAGGAGTCGCGCCGAACGGGACATGCCGTCTCATTTTACGCGACGTTACTCCGGCAACCACCGCGACATTGCCCGTCGCTTCCCACGATCACGAGACGACGGACGACGACGTTTGCATCCTCGTGTTTTGAAACGTCAGTCGGAGACGTCGGAGCGGAGAATCGGAGAGTTCGGAGACTGTCCGACTGTCGGGCTAGCCGTTCCGCTCATCGACGGAGTCGCCGCCAATTGTCATGCCCATGAGACGGTTCTTCAAACTACCCGCTGTGGATAAAATTACCCTCGCGTATGATAACAGCGAGAACCGATATAGGCACGTCATCACGCTGAGACACAAAATATTATTCCTGTTATTAGGAGAGCAGGACAGCAAGGAGGAAACACGAGATTAGCTGCACTTCATAATCCAACTTTTGCCTTATTAGTATCCTTCACTGAGAAAAAAAATTGTTAATCTCAAGAAATATTTAGTTCGATACGTTCAACTAAACATTTTAGTTAGTTAACTAAATATTGGTTGTTTCAACAATTTATTTCATTTCTTTAATCAAGAATTAATTAATTCAACTAATGTTTAGTTAACTAACTAAAATGTTTAGTTGAACGTATCGGACTAAATATTTCTTGGGATTGACACTTTTTTTTTCTCAGTATTGTAATAGCGACATTCAGCCTTCGATAATGAGAATTTCGGCGGATAAACGTAAAAGAATAAACATGAGCAATAAATGAGCATTTATTACAAAACCATGCAATGATTTAAAATTTTAAAAGATTGTGCTTCGCACAAAGTCAACAGAAACGAATCGCTGTTGGAGTAGGCGCATGGAGACGCAGCGTCTCGTCGAGGCAAACTGACTTTCACACGTCGATTTGTCATTATGCAACAACATTTTAAAACCTTTTACTGTCTAATTTAGTTCGAGAAAACCATGCATTGCGTTTATGGACACATAGAAATATTAACACAAATGTATTTCTTTGGATTCATCTAGGTAGTGTCGCGCGTCGTTGTCCGAAGCGTCGTCCGTCGGCATTCGGAGCTCTCTCTTTCTCGTTGACTAGCGTTATGCAACAACATTCTGAAACGTTTTATCGTCTGATTCTTCTCGAAAGAGCATACCTCGCACTAAAGCCCCCACAATATGAACATATTTCTTGCGATTCGTTCAGAATCATTTCCGGGATTTTGGAGTTTTTATTTTCCTGTCGCGGAGCGTCGCGCGACGCTATTTGCACAGTTCCCTTTTTCTCGCTGGCTAGCATTATGCAACAACATTCTAAAATCTTTTATCGTCTAATTACATTCGAAAAACCATGCCTCGCATTAAAGGACACATAACAATATTGAAATGAACGTATTTCTCGAGATTCGTTCAGTAGCTCGTCGCATTTCAGAACTTCGACTTTCTCGCCGAGCGACGGCACTCGTCGCTATCTTTTTCCCGTTGTTTAGCATTATACAGCAGCATTCTAAAACTCTTTATCGTCTAATATTGTTTGAGAGAGCATGCCTCGTATTAAAGGACACATAACAATGTTAACGTAAATGTATTTCTTGAGATTCACTCGGTGTCGCGTATCCGAAGATCGGCGCTCTGAAATATGCCGATACGCGACACCGACTTAATATCTCGAGAAATACGTTTATTTTAATATCGCTATGTGTCCTTTAATGCGAAGCGTACTCTCTCGAACAATATTAGACGATAAAGAGTTTTAGAATATGCTGTTGCAAAATGCTAGCCAACAAAAAATGTGTAAAGCCACGAATACCGTCCGGCGGCTATCGGTGAGAAAATCGAAGCTCTGAAATATGTTAAAATAAAATAAAAAGTCGCTCGGCGCACGTTTCGTTAAGATCTTGCGCACTTTCTCGTCTTAGTACGTGAAACTGTAAAATTGTCAGTATTAATAATGACTACGTCCAATAGTGCAGATTTCAAATTAACGAGTGATAGTTAAATCATCTTTCTATCGTTTGCGGTTGCCGAGATATAAGCGTTTAATGAAAATGATGAATGGCGAGGCGCACGATTCTTTTGGCCAGCTCGCGCTTCATTGCTTTAATAAACGAAAGTACATAATTGCGAGTAATACAATTGAGTATATAATACCAATAGGGCAAAGTATAAAGTACAAAGTCTTTCTTTAATCATCTTTCTATCATTTACGGTTGCCGAGATATAAGCGTTTTACGAAAGTCAGAAATCATTTTACGCCCGATCGTTACGACACGCGCGCGCTTTACCATGTTAAATAAACGGAAGGACGTAATTGTTAGTAAGGAAATCGAGATACTCCAATAGCGCAGAGTATAAACTAAACAGTCCTTTTCGAATCATCTCTATATCTTGGGTGGTAGCCCAGATATTTGCGATAAACGATAGGGCAGACTTTTTTTCTCGCGCCAAGCCAGCGACACGTGGCCTTGACCTACTTTCGACGATCAGCTGTGCATTATTGATTTACTTTCTAAATTGACCTTGACCTAGATCACCGAGTCCGGGAATGCCGTCGCGCGACGTGTGTGTATATGCACGTGTGTGTATATGCACGGCAACGTCTATCGTCTATCCGTAAAATTCATAAATATTTCGATGTTTTTGCTAACTGATTTTTAAAGATTTATTTTAAAAGTAGCGAGAGGCCTGCTTCCAAACAGCGTCATTTACGCTGCCACAGAGCTTCCTCCCTAACGTGAGATGTATTATTAATGATGTTGCAATCACATTAGCGCTAATTACAATATTTTATGTCGTTTTTGAATAATGTTTATATCTGTGGTGGTTGCAGAGATACATATATAAGAATGTATTAATCGTTGGCTAGCATTATGCAACAATATTCTGAGACTTTTTATCGTTTTGTTGTTCGAGAGATCATGCACTATGTTAAAAGGCACATAACAATGTTAACGTAACGTCATTTTGTAAGAATTCTCTAAAGTTCGTATGCTGATTTAGGAAACGTTTTTATTGTGGTTTTTTATTATTCAATAACGTTTTAAAACATTTTATTTTAAAATCTTTGAATCGCATATTGTTTATTGGGATAAAGGCATAAACAATGTACTATTCATATTTTTAATATACCTTAATATTGTTAACCAAAAAAGATCCGACGGCAACGGTAATCATTGATAGGATATTATTACATACTCGTATGTTAAATCAACATGACAGCAATTGTTCGT